CAAGCACGGCTCTGCGTTAAGGCCGTGGCCAGAAGACACCACACACTGCTCGCGAACTGCCGGGCCGCCACTGACCAGCATGAAGGAGTAAGGCGCGCTCACACCGGCAGCAGCTGACAAGCCAAAGTAACCCCATGGTTTGGCTCCCCGCATCAGAACCTTGACTGCTTTCGCCGCAACGGGAGCAGCAAACATGATTGTCTCTTCGAAACTTGGCTCACTGCGGGCGATCTGGCGCCATCCCGCAGCTTCTTCAAAATTGCCCCCGTCCAAACTCGTCAGTACCTTCACCTCTGCTGGAGCGTAGCTCCAATGGAGATTCACCCCGAGCAAGTGCCGTCTGGCCGTGAATGTTCCTGTCCAAGAAACAATTTCGCTCGGGCCATGCTTCCTGCCAAACTTTCATCCGCAATGCAATGTGATTACAAAACCTGCCTTTCCCAAGTCTCCGGACCCAGCACTGCACCAATACCTGGCACAAGACAGAAATGCACCAACACATGGCTTTTGCAGCACTGAGCACATCAACAGCTGCGCCCAGATGATTCAAGCGTTGCCAGGTCTGCCCCAAAGGATTTTGTGGAATAGATGCTGGAAGCAGAAGCTGCGTCAAAGGCTGTCAGCTTCTGAGCTGCAGCAGGCACCCAAAAAAGCAACACTGCGAACTTAGTCAACATGACACTCACACGTCAGAACGATGACGCCCCGCCCACGCTGTCAAATGAAACTGGAGCTTCCAAAGTTTTCAAACACTTGCTCACTGCTCCCGCATCTGATCTCGCCCGGTAGCAAATTTCATATTATGGCTTCTGTGGCCCTCCTTGTCTCTGTGCCTAGAGCCTCCAAGTATAAGCCAAAAAAATAAAATCATAAGAGAGAAATAAGGCAAAAAACAAGCAGACTACTAAAGAGCATGGATATGCCTGTCATGCTCATTGGCTACTTTACGTTCAAAATAAAAAATGTTTTTCGCTCTTGTGGAAACAGGGTCTGCCTTGAAGCCGTGAAAATGACGCTGTGGGTGGTAGAGGCAACAACCGAATGATCAGAAAAAATGAAATCTAAGCGTGCCGTGAGGTGGCATGATCTGGACAAGGGAAACATGGTTGGCAGAAAGCACTTTGACGGCAAAACGATATAAAGGAATTCCTGTGGAGTTAGAATTCATTATGGCTCTGCGGCTCACAGGCCCAAGATTTTCCCGCCAGCAAAGTCAAAGCGCAGCAAACTGTCTTTGTGGCATACTGGCGGCAAGCGTGTGCACCCCGCGCGAATCACAAAACCAAGAAACACACAAAATAGATCGAAGCAAAAACCGATTTTGCTCCGCATCCATTTTGAAAAGACGCGTCCTCAAACAAATGTCTATCTTTCTTGTGCAGCCGGGCAACACGTGACAGTGAAGGCAGAAACCTTGAACTACCAAAAAAAATGAAGCCCGGAAAAAACCGCGAAATTGCACAAGGTTGCACGAAATCAGAAAACTTGGCGCAAATCTTTTTTTAACAATCATTTATCTCCAAATTTCAAGAATTTTCAGGACATGTTGGGTTACACACCTGAAGTTCATCGAATGAGTGGAAAAAATAGAGCGCACGAAGCGCACGAAATTGGTTCCTACAATCCTCGAACAAAACTGATGGAAAAGCTGCTGAAACCATTCTACTGAAACCATTCTAAATGTTCAAAATCTAGCCTGGAAAAGCAAGGAATGGCCACCTTCCGATCATTTTCTTGCAATTTTGTTCGAAGCAAATGTCACCTAAAGTCAGCGCACGAAAGCGCACGAAATTGAGATAGCTGAAATTGCCCGAATTCCTGGAAAAGTGGTTCCGGTGCTGTTATTTTCTTTTCCAAGTTTCAACGGCTGGATGCTGTACAAAAAAAGGTGCTTCGACCAAAAAAACGTTGAGAAGAGAATTCGTGCTGGTCGCGGGCTGCCATTTTTTCATGCGCAGGAGGCAAATCAAGCAAAAAGCATTAGAGACGGGAATCCAGAGCAAACTGAGCAAACCTCAAAAAGCGTCTGTCTTCCAGCCGGGGCAGCGAATTGTTCCCTCAGGCTGGCAACACGGTGTCATTCCAAAGATTCCAATGCGAAGTTGAATCAAAGCAACTTGACACCAGGCTGGCCCAATACCTGAGGCACAAGAGCACAGTGTCTTTGCCCCCAAAACTTGACTGAACGCTCTTTGGTGCACTTTATCCCAGCATTGCGGCTATTGAAGCCACATGTGAAAAAAAACAATATCAGCCAAAACTTATGAGCCCCAGAGTGCTGCACACCTTGAATTTTGAAGAATGTCAGTTTTTTCACCCGGATCCAAAAACACCATCGCAAAACATTACAAAATTTCATGCCCAGGAATGCCAAATTAAATTTCTTATTCCCAGTAGAAAGTATCAAACACTTGGTAATGACTATTCTGCCACCAAAAAAAGTTTGCAAGCGCATTTGCCCCAGCAAGAGCAGAGCAATAACGAAATTTGCTATCACCCAGCTTGAAGAAACTGTTTTACTGTTTTGACAAACTAAGCAAGAACAAGTCCTTATCTTGCATTCCTTGCTCAACCACAAACCAAACCAGGCGCTTGCCGCTCTTGGGGCAACTGCTCACAACAAGCTGTCACAACTAGTAATGAATCAGAAGCATTCAGCGAGCAGCTTTGCGAAAGGCGGCCAAAGCTTCTGCGGAAGCGGCCGCCGTTGAGCTGAGCTCATGCTGGCTCACCCCAAAGTGCCCCCCACTTTGCCTGCCAAACTTTCCTTGTCAGCGTGTGAACTCAAGGCATTGCGCGAAGCAAGGGATATGATCCCTGCCGCTGCTTGCAATCCAGAAGCTCGGTTCGGCAGGCTCGCCAAGCTGATTTTCGCTTTGCAGGTGGCAAGCTTGGGCAGCAGAGCCTGCAACTCCTTCAGCAGCTTGCCTTGCCTGGCGAGGCTGCCGCGCAAGAGCTCACCCAAGCTACGCACAGCAACCACAGCCTTTGGGTCATAGGCGGGCACAGCCACTTGAAAGAAATTGCTCGCGCCGAGAGATGCTGCTTCGTCGCAATCCAAGGCATGCACAGCAGAGCCATCCACAGCCAAGCACATGTTCCCCTGTTTGACCTGCCCATCTGCGCTCACTTCCCACACCCCTGTGCTGCTGTCACACTTTTCCAATTCAAGCTTGTCGCCAGCCAGGCGCACGCAATACCCGGACGCAGTCTGCAACGATCCTTCGCTGGTAAATGTGAACACATCACGGCCATCTCCTGCAACAATTGCATCCAAGCACGGCTCTGCGTTAAGGCCGTGGCCAGAAGACACCACACACTGCTCGCGAACTGCCGGGCCGCCACTGACCAGCATGAAGGAGTAAGGCGCGCTCACACCGGCAGCAGCTGACAAGCCAAAGTAACCCCATGGTTTGGCTCCCCGCATCAGAACCTTGACTGCTTTCGCCGCAACGGGAGCAGCAAACATGATTGTCTCTTCGAAACTTGGCTCACTGCGGGCGATCTGGCGCCATCCCGCAGCTTCTTCAAAATTGCCCCCGTCCAAACTCGTCAGTACCTTCACCTCTGCTGGAGCGTAGCTCCAATGGAGATTCACCCCGAGCAAGTGCCGTCTGGCCGTGAATGTTCCTGTCCAAGAAACAATTTCGCTCGGGCCATGCTTCCTGCCAAACGTCATCATGATTCTATGGTGAAGGGGGGGGTGAAACTAGATGGACCCCATTCCTTTTCCTTCCCCCCCGCCTATCCTTTCCCCCTTCTGCCTTTCCGCCGCTCCCTAATGCACCAATACCTGGCACAAGACAGAAATGCACCAACACATGGCTTTTGCAGCACTGAGCACATCAACAGCTGCGCCCAGATGATTCAAGCGTTGCCAGATCCGCCCCAAAGGATTTTGTGGAATAGACGCTGGAAGCAGATGCTGCGTCAAAGGCTGTCAGCTTCTGAGCTGCAGCAGGCACCCAAAAAAGCAACACTGCGAACTTAGTCAACATGACACTCACACGTCAGAACGACGACGCCCCGCCCACGCTCTGTCAAATGAAACTGGAGCTTCCAAAGTTCTCAAACACTTGCTCACTGCTCCTGCATCTGATCTCGCCCGGTAGCAAATTTCATATTCTGGCTTCTGTGGCCCTCCTTGTCTCTGTGCCTAGAGCCTCCAAGTATAAGCCAAAAAAAAAAAATCATAAGAGAGAAATATGGCAAAAAACAAGCAGACTACTAAAGAGCATGGATATGCCGCACATGCTCATTGGCTACTTTACGTTCAAAATAAAAAATGTTTTTCGCTCTTGTGGAAACAGGGTCTGCCTTGAAGCCGTGAAAATGACGCTGTGGGTGGTAGAGGCAACAACCGAATGATCAGAAAAAATGAAATCTAAGCGTGCCGTGAGGTGGCATGATCTGGACAAGGGAAACATGGTTGGCAGAAAGCACTTTGACGGCAAAACGATATAAAGGAATTCCTGGGGAGTTAGAACTCATTATGGCTCTGCGGCTCACAGGCCCAAGTTTTTCCCGCCAGCAAAGTCAAAGCGCAGCAAACTGTCTTTGTGGCATACTGGCGGCAAGCGTGTGCACCCCGCGCGAATCACAAAACCAAGAAAGAAACACACAAAAATAGATCGAAGCAAAAACCGATTTTGCTCCGCATCCATTTTGAAAAGACGCGTCCTCAAACAAATGTCTATCTTTCTTGTGCAGCCGGGCAACACGCGACAGTGAAGGCAGAAACCTTGAACTACCACAAAAAATGAAGCCCGGAAAAAAACGCGAAATTGCACAAGGTTGCACGAAATCAGAAAACTTGGCGCAAATCTTTTTTCAACAACCATTTATCTCCAAATTTCAAGAATTTTCAGGACATGTTGGGTTACACACCTGAAGTTCATCGAATGAGTGGAAAAAATAGAGCGCACGAAGCGCACGAAGCGCACGAAATTGGTTCCTACAATCCTCGAACAAAACTGATGGAAAAGCTGCTGAAACCATTCTACTGAAACCATTCTAAGTGTTCAAAATCCAGCCTGGAAAAGCAAGGAATGGCCACCTTCCGATCATTTTCTTGCAATTTTGTTCGAAGCAAATGTCACCTAAAGTCAGCGCACGAAAGCGCACGAAATTGAGATAGCTGAAATTGCCCGAATTCCTGGAAAAGTGGTTCCGGTGCTGTTCTTTTCTTTTCCAAGTTTCAACGGCTGGATGCTGTACAAAAAAAGATGCTTCGACCAAAAAAACGTTGAGAAGAGAATTCGTGCTGGTCGCGGGCTGCCATTTTTTCATGCGCAGGAGGCAAATCAAGCAAAAAGCATTAGAGACGGGAATCCAGAGCAAACTGAGCAAACCTCAAAAAGCGTCTGTCTTCCAGCCGTGGCAGCGAATTGTTCCCTCAGGCTGGCAACACGGTGTCATTCCAAAGATTCCAATGCGAAGTTGAATCAAAGCAACTTGACACCAGGCTGGCCCAATACCTGAGGCACAAGAGCACAGTGTCTTTGCCCCCAAACTTGACTGAACGCTCTTTGGTGCACTTTATCCCAGCATTGCGGCTATTGAAGCCACATGTGAAAAAAAAAACAATATCAGCCAAAACTTGTTAGCCCCTGAGTGGCGCACACTTTTTGAAGAATGTCAATTTTTTCACCCGGATCCAAAAACACCATCGCAAAACATTACAAATTTTCATGCCCCAGGAATTCCAACTTTAATTTCTTATTCCTGGTAGAAAGTATCAATTTGCTAATTTCTCTGACACTTGGTAATGACTACTCTGCCAGCAACATTTTAAAAAGTTGCGCGCGCATTTGTCCCAGCAAGAGCAGAGCAATAACGAAACTTGCTATCGCCCAGCTGAAAGAAACTGTTTTACTGTTTTGGCAAACTAAGCAAGAACAAGTCCTTATCTTGCATTCCTTGCTCAACCACAAACCAAACCAGGCGCTTGCCGCTCTTGGGGCAACTGCTCACAACAAGCTGTCACAACTAGTAATGAATCAGAAGCATTCAGCGAGCAGCTTTGCGAAAGGCGGCCAAAGCTTCTGCGGAAGCGGCCGCCGTTGAGCTGAGCTCATGCTGGCTCACCCCAAAGTGCTCCCCCACTTTGCCTGCCAAACTTTCCTTGTCAGCGTGTGAACTCAAGGCATTGCGCGAAGCAAGGGATATGATCCCTGCCGCTGCTTGCAATCCAGAAGCTCGGTTCGGCAGGCTCGCCAAGCTGATTTTCGCTTTGCAGGTGGCAAGCTTGGGCAGCAGAGCCTGCAACTCCTTCAGCAGCTTGCCTTGCCTGGCGAGGCTGCCGCGCAAGAGCTCACCCAAGCTACGCACAGCAACCACAGCCTTTGGGTCATAGGCGGGCACAGCCACTTGAAAGAAATTGCTTGCGCCGAGAGATGCTGCTTCGTCGCAGTCCAAGGCATGCACAGCAGAGCCATCCACAGCCAAGCACATGTTCCCCTGTTTGACCTGCCCATCTGCGCTCACTTCCCACACCCCTGTGCTGCTGTCACACTTTTCCAATTCAAGCTTGTCGCCAGCCAGGCGCACGCAATACCCGGACGCAGTCTGCAACGATCCTTCGCTGGTAAATGTGAACACATCACGGCCATCTCCTGCAACAATTGCATCCAAGCACGGCTCTGCGTTAAGGCCGTGGCCAGAAGACACCACACACTGCTCGCGAACTGCCGGGCCGCCACTGACCAGCATGAAGGAGTAAGGCGCGCTCACACCGGCAGCAGCTGACAAGCCAAAGTAACCCCATGGTTTGGCTCCCCGCATCAGAACCTTGACTGCTTTCGCTGCAACGGGAGCAGCAAACATGATTGTCTCTTCGAAACTTGGCTCACTGCGGGCGATCTGGCGCCATCCCGCAGCTTCTTCAAAATTGCCCCCGTCCAAACTCGTCAGTACCTTCACCTCTGCTGGAGCGTAGCTCCAATGGAGATTCACCCCGAGCAAGTGCCGTCTGGCCGTGAATGATCCTGTCCAAGAAACAATTTCGCTCGGGCCATGCTTTCTGCCAACGTTTCATGAGTATGCCTCAATGCATGTGATACAAAACCTGCTTTTTCCAAGTCTTCCGGACCATCGCTGCCCATAACCTGTCACAAGACAGAAATGCACCAACACATGGCTTTTGCAGCACTGAGCACATCAACAGCTGCGCCCAGATGATTCAAGCGTTGCCAGGTCTGCCCCAAAGGATTTTGTGGAATAGACGCTGGAAGCAGAAGCTGCGTCAAAGGCTGTCAGCTTCTGAGCTGCAGCAGGCACCCAAAAAAGCAACACTGCGAACTTAGTCAACATGACACTCACACGTCAGAACGACGACGCCCCGCCCACGCTCTGTCAAATGAAACTGGAGCTTCCAAAGTTTTCAAACACTTGCTCACTGCTCCCGCATCTGATCTCGCCCGGTAGCAAATTTCATAGGCTTCTGTGGCCCTCCTTGTCTCTGTGCCTAGAGCCTCCAAGTATAAGCCAAAAAAATAAAATCATAAGAGAGAAATAAGGCAAAAAACAAGCAGACTACTAAAGAGCATGGGTATGCCTGTCATGCCCATGGGCTACTTTACGTTCAAAATAAAAAATGTTTTTCGCTCTTGTGGAAACAGGGTCTGCCTTGAAGACGTGAAAATGACGCTGTGGGTGGTAGAGGCAACAACCGAATGATCAGAAAAAATGAAATCTAAGCGTGCCGTGAGGTGGCATGATCTGGACAAGGGAAACATGGTTGGCAGAAAGCACTTGACGGCAAAACGATATAAAGGAATTCCTGTGGAGTTAGAACTCATTATGGCTCTGCGGCTCACAGGCCCAAGATTTTCCCGCCAGCAAAGTCAAAGCGCAGCAAACTGTCTTTGTGGCATACTGGCGGCAAGCGTGTGCACCCCGCGCGAATCACAAAACCAAGAAAGAAACACACAAAATAGATCGAAGCAAAAACCGATTTTGCTCCGCATCCATTTTGAAAAGACGCGTCCTCAAACAAATGTCTATCTTTCTTGTGCAGCCGGGCAACACGTGACAGTGAAGGCAGAAACCTTGAACTACCAAAAAAAATGAAGCCCGGAAAAAACCGCGAAATTGCACAAGGTTACATCAGAAAACTTGGCGCAAATCTTTTTTTAACAATCATTTATCTCCAAATTTCAAGAATTTTCAGGACATGTTGGGTTACACACCTGAAGTTCATCGAATGAGTGGAAAAAATAGAGCGCACGAAGCGCACGAAGCGCACGAAATTGGTTCCTACAATCCTCGAACAAAACTGATGGAAAAGCTGCTGAAACCATTCTACTGAAACCATTCTAAGTGTTCAAAATCCAGCCTGGAAAAGCAAGGAATGGCCACCTTCCGATCATTTTCTTGCAATTTTGTTCGAAGCAAATGTCACCTAAAGTCAGCGCACGAAAGCGCACGAAATTGAGATAGCTGAAATTGCCCGAATTCCTGGAAAAGTGGTTCCGGTGCTGTTCTTTTCTTTTCCAAGTTTCAACGGCTGGATGCTGTACAAAAAAAGATGCTTCGACCAAAAAAACGTTGAGAAGAGAATTCGTGCTGGTCGCGGGCTGCCATTTTTTCATGCGCAGGAGGCAAATCAAGCAAAAAGCATTAGAGACGGGAATCCAGAGCAAACTGAGCAAACCTCAAAAAGCGTCTGTCTTCCAGCCGTGGCAGCGAATTGTTCCCTCAGGCTGGCAACACGGTGTCATTTCAAAGATTCCAATGCGAAGTTGAATCAAAGCAACTTGACACCAGGCTGGCCCAATACCTGAGGCACAAGAGCACAGTGTCTTTGCCCCCAAACTTGACTGAACGCTCTTTGGTGCACTTTATCCCAGCATTGCGGCTATTGAAGCCACATGTGAAAAAAAAACCATATCAGCCAAACTTTGTTAGCCCCTGAGTGGCGCACACTTTTTGAAGAATGTCAATTTTTTCACCCGGATCCAAAAACACCATCGCAAAACATTACAAATTTTCATGCCCCAGGAATTCCAACTTTAATTTCTTATTCCTGGTAGAAAGTATCAATTTGCTCATTTCTCTGACGCTTGGTAATGACTACTCTGCCAGCAACATTTTAAAAAGTTGCGCGCGCATTTGTCCCAGCAAGAGCAGAGCAATAACGAAACTTGCTATTGCCCAGCTGAAAGAAACTGTTTTACTGTTTTGGCAAACTAAGCAAGAACAAGTCCTTATCTTGCATTCCTTGCTCAACCACAAACCAAACCAGGCGCTTGCCGCTCTTGGGGCAACTGCTCACAACAAGCTGTCACAACTAGTAATGAATCAGAAGCATTCAGCGAGCAGCTTTGCGAAAGGCGGCCAAAGCTTCTGCGGAAGCGGCCGCCGTTGAGCTGAGCTCATGCTGGCTCACCCCAAAGTGCTCCCCCACTTTGCCTGCCAAACTTTCCTTGTCAGCGTGTGAACTCAGGGCATTGCGCGAAGCAAGGGATATGATCCCTGCCGCTGCTTGCAATCCAGAAGCTCGGTTCGGCAGGCTCGCCAAGCTGATTTTCGCTTTGCAGGTGGCAAGCTTGGGCAGCAGAGCCTGCAACTCCTTCAGCAGCTTGCCTTGCCTGGCGAGGCTGCCGCGCAAGAGCTCACCCAAGCTACGCACAGCAACCACAGCCTTTGGGTCATAGGCGGGCACAGCCACTTGAAAGAAATTGCTCGCGCCGAGAGATGCTGCTTCGTCGCAGTCCAAGGCATGCACAGCAGAGCCATCCACAGCCAAGCACATGTTCCCCTGTTTGACTTGCCCATCTGCGCTCACTTCCCACACCCCTGTGCTGCTGTCACACTTTTCCAATTCAAGCTTGTCGCCAGCCAGGCGCACGCAATACCCGGACGCAGTCTGCAACGATCCTTCGCTGGTAAATGTGAACACATCACGGCCATCTCCTGCCACAATTGCATCCAAGCACGGCTCTGCGGTCAGGCCGTGGCCAGAAGACACCACACACTGCTCGCGAACTGCCGGGCCGCCACTGACCAGCATGAAGGAGTAAGGCGCGCTCACACCGGCAGCAGCTGACAAGCCAAAGTAACCCCATGGTTTGGCTCCCCGCATCAGAACCTTGACTGCTTTCGCTGCAACGGGAGCAGCAAACATGATTGTCTCTTCGAAACTTGGCTCGCTGCGGGCGATCTGGCGCCATCCCGCAGCTTCTTCAAAATTGCCCCCGTCCAAACTCGTCAGTACCTTCACCTCTGCTGGAGCGTAGCTCCAATGGAGATTCACCCCGAGCAAGTGCCGTCTGGCCGTGAATGATCCTGTCCAAGAAACAATTTCGCTCGGGCCATGCTTCCTGCCAAACGTTCATCCGCAATGCAATGTGATTACAAAACCTGCCTTTCCCAAGTCTCCGGACCCAGCGCTGCACCAATACCTGGCACAAGACAGAAATGCACCAACACATGGCTTTTGCAGCACTGAGCACATCAACAGCTGCGCCCAGATGATTCAAGCGTTGCCAGGTCTGCCCCAAAGGATTTTGTGGAATAGATGCTGGAAGCAGAAGCTGCGTCAAAGGCTGTCAGCTTCTGAGCTGCAGCAGGCACCCAAAAAAGCAACACTGCGAACTTAGTCAACATGACACTCACACGTCAGAACGACGACGCCCCGCCCACGCTCTGTCAAATGAAACTGGAGCTTCCAAAGTTTTCAAACACTTGCTCACTGCTCCCGCATCTGATCTCGCCCGGTAGCAAATTTCATATGGCTTCTGTGGCCCTCCTTGTCTCTGTGCCTAGAGCCTCCAAGTATAAGCCAAAAAAATAAAATCATAAGAGAGAAATAAGGCAAAAAACAAGCAGACTACTAAAGAGCATGGATATGCCTGTCATGCTCATTGGCTACTTTACGTTCAAAATAAAAAAATTTTTTCGCTCTTGTGGAAACAGGGTCTGCCTTGAAGCCGTGAAAATGACGCTGTGGGTGGTAGAGGCAACAACCGAATGATCAGAAAAAATGAAATCTAAGCGTGCCGTGAGGTGGCATGATCTGGACAAGGGAAACATGGTTGGCAGAAAGCACTTGACGGCAAAACGATATAAAGGAATTCCTGTGGAGTTAGAACTCATTATGGCTCTGCGGCTCACAGGCCCAAGATTTTCCCGCCAGCAAAGTCAAAGCGCAGCAAACTGTCTTTGTGGCATACTGGCGGCAAGCGTGTGCACCCCGCGCGAATCACAAAACCAAGAAAGAAACACACAAAATAGATCGAAGCAAAAACCGATTTTGCTCCGCATCCATTTTGAAAAGACGCGTCCTCAAACAAATGTCTATCTTTCTTGTGCAGCCGGGCAACACGTGACAGTGAAGGCAGAAACCTTGAACTACCAAAAAAAATGAAGCCCGGAAAAACCGCGAAATTGCACAAGGTTTATCAGAAAACTTGGCGCAAATCTTTTTTTAACAATCATTTATCTCCAAATTTCAAGAATTTTCAGGACATGTTGGGTTACACACCTGAAGTTCATCGAATGAGTGGAAAAAATAGAGCGCACGAAGCGCACGAAATTGGTTCCTACAATCCTCGAACAAAACTGATGGAAAAGCTGCTGAATCCATTCTACTGAAACCATTCTAAGTGTTCAAAATCCAGCCTGGAAAAGCAAGGAATGGCCACCTTCCGATCATTTTCTTGCAATTTTGTTCGAAGCAAATGTCACCTAAAGTCAGCGCACGAAAGCGCACGAGATTGAGATAGCTGAAATTGCCCGAATTCCTGGAAAAGTGGTTCCGGTGCTGTTCTTTTCTTTTCCACGTTTCAACGGCTGGATGCTGTACAAAAAAAGATGCTTCGACCAAAAAAACGTTGAGAAGAGAATTCGTGCTGGTCGCGGGCTGCCATTTTTTCATGCGCAGGAGGCAAATCAAGCAAAAAGCATTAGAGACGGGAATCCAGAGCAAACTGAGCAAACCTCAAAAAGCGTCTGTCTTCCAGCCGTGGCAGCGAATTGTTCCCTCAGGCTGGCAACACGGTGTCATTCCAAAGATTCCAATGCGAAGTTGAATCAAAGCAACTTGACGCCAGGCTGGCCCAATACCTGAGGCACAAGAGCACAGTGTCTTTGCCCCCAAACTTGACTGAACGCTCTTTGGTGCACTTTATCCCAGCAAAGCGGCTATTGAAGCCACATGTGAAAAAAAACAATATCAGCCAAAACTTGTTAGCCCCTGAGTGGCGCACACTTTTTGAAGAATGTCAATTTTTTCTCCAGGAATGCCAAATTAAATTTTTTATTCCCAGTAGAATCAGTAGAAAGTATCAAACACTTGGTAATGACTATTCTGCCACCAAAAAAAGTTTGCAAGCGCATGTGCCCCAGCAAGAGCAGAGCAATAACGAAATTTGCTATCGCCCAGCTGAAAGAAACTGTTTTACTGTTTTGGCAAACTAAGCAAGAACAAGTCCTTATCTTGCATTCCTTGCTCAACCACAAACCAAACCAGGCGCTTGCCGCTCTTGGGGCAACTGCTCACAACAAGCTGTCACAACTAGTAATGAATCAGAAGCATTCAGCGAGCAGCTTTGCGAAAGGCGGCCAAAGCTTCTGCGGAAGCGGCCGCCGTTGAGCTGAGCTCATGCTGGCTCACCCCAAAGTGCTCCCCCACTTTGCCTGCCAAACTTTCCTTGTCAGCGTGTGAACTCAAGGCATTGCGCGAAGCAAGGGATATGATCCCTGCCGCTCCTTGCAATCCAGAAGCTCGGTTCGGCAGGCTCGCCAAGCTGATTTTCGCTTTGCAGGTGGCAAGCTTGGGCAGCAGAGCCTGCAACTCCTTCAGCAGCTTGCCTTGCCTGGCGAGGCTGCCGCGCAAGAGCTCACCCAAGCTACGCACAGCAACCACAGCCTTTGGGTCATAGGCGGGCACAGCCACTTGAAAGAAATTGCTTGCGCCGAGAGATGCTGCTTCGTCGCAGTCCAAGGCATGCACAGCAGAGCCATCCACAGCCAAGCACATGTTCCCCTGTTTGACCTGCCCATCTGCGCTCACTTCCCACACCCCTGTGCTGCTGTCACACTTTTCCAATTCAAGCTTGTCGCCAGCCAGGCGCACGCAATACCCGGACGCAGTCTGCAACGATCCTTCGCTGGTAAATGTGAACACATCACGGCCATCTCCTGCAACAATTGCATCCAAGCACGGCTCTGCGTTAAGGCCGTGGCCAGAAGACACCACACACTGCTCGCGAACTGCCGGGCCGCCACTGACCAGCATGAAGGAGTAAGGCGCGCTCACACCGGCAGCAGCTGACAAGCCAAAGTAACCCCATGGTTTGGCTCCCCGCATCAGAACCTTGACTGCTTTCGCTGCAACGGGAGCAGCAAACATGATTGTCTCTTCGAAACTTGGCTCGCTGCGGGCGATCTGGCGCCATCCCGCAGCTTCTTCAAAATTGCCCCCGTCCAAACTCGTCAGTACCTTCACCTCTGCTGGAGCGTAGCTCCAACGAAGATTCACCCCGAGCAAGTGCCGTCTGGCCGTGAATGATCCTGTCCAAGAAACAATTTCGCTCGGGCCATGCTTCCTGCCAAACGTTCATCCGCAATACAATGTGATTACAAAACCTGCCTTTCCCAAGTCTCCGGACCCAGCGCTGCACCAATACGTGGCACAAGACAGAAATGCACCAACACATGGCTTTTGCAGCACTGAGCACATCAACAGCTGCGCCCAGATGATTCAAGCGTTGCCAGGTCTGCCCCAAAGGATTTTGTGGAATAGACGCTGGAAGCAGAAGCTGCGTCAAAGGCTGTCAGCTTCTGAGCTGCAGCAGGCACCCAAAAAAGCAACACTGCGAACTTAGTCAACATGACACTCACACGTCAGAACGACGACGCCCCGCCCACGCTCTGTCAAATGAAACTGGAGCTTCCAAAGTTTTCAAACACTTGCTCACTGCTCCCGCATCTGATCTCGCCCGGTAGCAAATTTCATATTATGGCTTCTGTGGCCCTCCTTGTCTCTGTGCCTAGAGCCTCCAAGTATAAGCCAAAAAAATAAAATCATAAGAGAGAAATAAGGCAAAAAACAAGCAGACTACTAAAGAGCATGGATATGCCTGTCATGCTCATTGGCTACTTTACGTTCAAAATAAAAAATGTTTTTCGCTCTTGTGGAAACAGGGTCTGCCTTGAAGCCGTGAAAATGACGCTGTGGGTGGTAGAGGCAACAACCGAATGATCAGAAAAAATGAAATCTAAGCGTGCCGTGAGGTGGCATGATCTGGACAAGGGAAACATGGTTGGCAGAAAGCACTTGACGGCAAAACGATATAAAGGAATTCCTGTGGAGTTAGAACTCATTATGGCTCTGCGGCTCACAGGCCCAAGATTTTCCCGCCAGCAAAGTCAAAGCGCAGCAAACTGTCTTTGTGGCATACTGGCGGCAAGCGTGTGCACCCCGCGCGAATCACAAAACCAAGAAAGAAACACACAAAATAGATCGAAGCAAAAACCGATTTTGCTCCGCATCCATTTTGAAAAGACGCGTCCTCAAACAAATGTCTATCTTTCTTGTGCAGCCGGGCAACACGTGACAGTGAAGGCAGAAACCTTGAACTACCAAAAAAAATGAAGCCCGGAAAAAACCGCGAAATTGCACAAGGTTGCACGAAATCAGAAAACTTGGCGCAAATCTTTTTTTAACAATCATTTATCTCCAAATTTCAAGAATTTTCAGGACATGTTGGGTTACACACCTGAAGTTCATCGAATGAGTGGAAAAAATAGAGCGCACGAAGCGCACGAAATTGGTTCCTACAATCCTCGAACAAAACTGATGGAAAAGCTGCTGAAACCATTCTACTGAAACCATTCTAAGTGTTCAAAATCCAGCCTGGAAAAGCAAGGAATGGCCACCTTCCGATCATTTTCTTGCAATTTTGTTCGAAGCAAATGTCACCTAAAGTCAGCGCACGAAAGCGCGCGAAATTGAGATAGCTGAAATTGCCCGAATTCCTGGAAAAGTGGTTCCGGTGCTGTTCTTTTCTTTTCCAAGTTTCAACGGCTGGATGCTGTACAAAAAAAGATGCTTCGACCAAAAAAACGTTGAGAAGAGAATTCGTGCTGGTCGCGGGCTGCCATTTTTTCATGCGCAGGAGGCAAATCAAGCAAAAAGCATTAGAGACGGGAATCCAGAGCAAACTGAGCAAACCTCAAAAAGCGTCTGTCTTCCAGCCGTGGCAGCGAATTGTTCCCTCAGGCTGGCAACACGGTGTCATTCCAAAGATTCCAATGCGAAGTTGAATCAAAGCAACTTGACACCAGGCTGGCCCAATACCTGAGGCACAAGAGCGCAGTGTCTTTGCCCCCAAACTTGACTGAACCCTCTTTGGTGCACTTTATCCCAGCATTGCGGCTATTGAAGCCACATGTGAAAAAAACAATATCAGCCAAAACTTGTTAGCCCCTGAGTGGCGCACACTTTTTGAAGAATGTCAATTTTTTCTCCAGGAATGCCAAACTAAATTTCTTATTCCCAGTAGAAAGTATCAAACACTTGGTAATGACTATTCTGCCACCAAAAAAAGTTTGCAAGCGCATGTGCCCGAGCAAGAGCAGAGCAATAACGAAATTGGCTATCGCCCAGCTGAAAGAAACTGTTTTACTGTTTTGGCAAACTAAGCAAGAACAAGTCCTTATCTTGCATTCCTTGCTCAACCACAAACCAAACCAGGCGCTTGCCGCTCTTGGGGCAACTGCTCACAACAAGCTGTCACAACTAGTAATGAATCAGAAGCATTCAGCGGGCAGCTTTGCGAAAGGCGGCCAAAGCTTCTGCGGAAGCGGCCGCCGTTGAGCTGAGCTCATGCTGGCTCACCCCAAAGTGCTCCCCCACTTTGCCTGCCAAACTTTCCTTGTCAGCGTGTGAACTCAAGGCATTGCGCGAAGCAAGGGATATGATCCCTGCCGCTGCTTGCAATCCAGAAGCTCGGTTCGGCAGGCTCGCCAAGCTGATTTTCGCTTTGCAGGTGGCAAGCTTGGGCAGCAGAGCCTGCAACTCCTTCAGCAGCTTGCCTTGCCTGGCGAGGCTGCCGCGCAAGAGCTCACCCAAGCTACGCACAGCAACCACGGCCTTTGGGTCATAGGCGGGCACAGCCCCTTGAAAGAAATTGCTTGCGCCGAGAGATGCTGCTTCGTCGCAGTCCAAGGCATGCACAGCAGAGCCATCCACAGCCAAGCACATGTTCCCCTGTTTGACCTGCCCATCTGCGCTCACTTCCCACACCCCTGTGCTGCTGTCACACTTTTCCAATTCAAGCTTGTCGCCAGCCAGGCGCACGCAATACCCGGACGCAGTCTGCAACGATCCTTCGCTGGTAAATGTGAACACATCACGGCCATCTCCTGCAACAATTGCATCCAAGCACGGCTCTGCGTTAAGGCCGTGGCCAGAAGACACCACACACTGCTCGCGAACTGCCGGGCCGCCACTGACCAGCATGAAGGAGTAAGGCGCGCTCACACCGGCAGCAGCTGACAAGCCAAAGTAACCCCATGGTTTGGCTCCCCGCATCAGAACCTTGACTGCTTTCGCTGCAACGGGAGCAGCAAACATGATTGTCTCTTCGAAACTTGGCTCGCTGCGGGCGATCTGGCGCCATCCCGCAGCTTCTTCAAAATTGCCCCCGTCCAAACTCGTCAGTACCTTCACCTCTGCTGGAGCGTAGCTCCAACGAAGATTCACCCCGAGCAAGTGCCGTCTGGCCGTGAATGATCCTGTCCAAGAAACAATTTCGCTCGGGCCATGCTTCCTGCCAAACGTTCATCCGCAATGCAATGTGATTACAAAACCTGCCTTTCCCAAGTCTCCGGACCCAGCGCTGCACCAATACCTGGCACAAGACAGAAATGCACCAACACATGGCTTTTGCAGCACTGAGCACATCAACAGCTGCGCCCAGATGATTCAAGCGTTGCCAGGTCTGCCCCAAAGGATTTTGTGGAATAGATGCTGGAAGCAGAAGCTGCGTCAAAGGCTGTCAGCTTCTGAGCTGCAGCAGGCACCCAAAAAAGCAACACTGCGAACTTAGTCAACATGACACTCACACGTCAGAACGACGACGCCCCGCCCACGCTCTGTCAAATGAAACTGGAGCTTCCAAAGTTTTCAAACACTTGCTCACTGCTCCCGCATCTGATCTCGCCCGGTAGCAAATTTCATAGGCTTCTGTGGCCCTCCTTGTCTCTGTGCCTAGAGCCTCCAAGTATAAGCCAAAAAAAAATAAAATCATAAAGAGAAATAAGGCAAAAAACAATCAGGCTACTAAAGAGCATGGGTATGCCTGTCATGCTCATGGGCTACTTTACGTTCAAAATAAAAAATGTTTTTCACTCTTGTGGAAACAGGGTCTGCCTTGAAGCCGTGAAGGCTTTGAAAAAAATGAAAAAATGACGCTGTGGGCAGTAGAGGCAACAACCGAATGATCAGAAAAAATGAAATCTAAGCGTGCCGTGAGGTGGCATGATCTGGACAAGGGAAACATGGTTGGCAGAAAGCACTTGACGGCAAAACGATATAAAGGAATTCCTGTGGAGTTAGAACTCATTATGGCTCTGCGGCTCACAGGCCCAAGATTTTCCCGCCAGCAAAGTCAAAGCGCAGCAAACTGTCTTTGTGGCATACTGGCGGCAAGCGTGTGCACCCCGCGCGAATCACAAAACCAAGAAAGAAACACACAAAAATAGATCGAAGCAAAAACCGATTTTGCTCCGCATCCATTTTGAAAAGACGCGTCCTCAAACAAATGTCTATCTTTCTTGTGCAGCCGGGCAACACGTGACAGTGAAGGCAGAAACCTTGAACTACCAAAAAAAATGAAGCCCGGAAAAAACCGCGAAATTGCACAAGGTTGCACGAAATCAGAAAACTTGGCACAAATCTTTTTTAAACAATCATTTATCTCCAAATTTCAAGAATTTTCAGGACATGTTGGGTTACACACCTGAAGTTCATCGAATGAGTGAAAAAAAATAGAGCGCACGAAGCGCACGAAATTGGTTCCTACAATCCTCGAACAAAACTGATGGAAAAGCTGCTGAAACCATTCTACTGAAACCATTCTAAGTGTTCAAAATCCAGCCTGGAAAAGCAAGGAATGGCCGCCTTCCGATCATTTTCTTGCAATTTTGTTCGAAGCAAATGTCACCTAAAGTCAGCGCACGAAAGCGCACGAAATTGAGATAGCTGAAATTGCCCGAATTCCTGGAAAAGTGGTGCCGGTGCTGTTCTTTTCTTTTCCAAGTTTCAACGGCTGGATGCTGTACAAAAAAAGATGCTCCGACCAAAAAAAC